ATTTCACCGCGCTCGCCGCCGACCCCAAGTGCGACCCGGGAATCCTGGCCGCGATGCGGCTGACGTGGAAGGCGCTCGAGCACGGGCTGGAGCACGGGGCGCGCAAGACTATACCGGGGGAGGAGGAGGTCCGCGCGCTTATAACGGGGTCGCCTATGGTGGTGCCGGTGTTTCTGTGCAACGACGCGCCGGAGAACATTCACTATGGGCCCACTACGACAGTGGAGGAAGCGGTCAAGGTGAGAATTCTAAACCTATCCGAATCTGGATCGAGCCCCCTATCCCGACCCGAAGCCCTGAACCCTAACCCCGTGTTTCTGTGCCATGACGCGTTTTTGAGTCGACTCAAAAATCGACTCATTACACACGGAGCCCCCTATCCTGAAGCCCTGAACCCGACCCGTGTTTCTGTGCCATGACGCGCCGGAGAACACTTTTGAGGCGCCTCAAAAAGTGTTTCTGTGCCATGACGCGCCGGAGAACATTCACTATGGGCCGACCACAACTGTTGGAAAGCGGTTAAGGTGAAAAACCCTACAGCCGCGCTAAAACCCTGTCCGCAAACCCAATAGACTAAACCTTCAACCCAGTAGTGCAGATTTTGGCCCCCCTATTCCCCTAATAATTTCCCCCATCGTCTCCCCCCCCCCTCCCCCCCCCTCCCCCCGCTTCCCCAGATCCTCTGTCGCAAGCTCCAGGTTTCCGCCTCTTCCCCCTTCGCCATGTACACCAGCCGCGCCACGCGCCCGTCGTTGGCTCCGCGGGTTTCCGCCTCTCCCGCCCCTGGCGGAAAGAAGGCGCCGCCATTCCGCCGCCGTCGTGGGTGAGTGTAAACACGGTGTGGGATTCGTTACAAGCGTTGTTCGGTCTTAATCCGTCCCTTGCCCGTCCCTCGTCCGTCTCTTGCTTGGGAACCAATTATTGGTCCACGTGGGGAAAGTGTCCCGACGCCAGCAGGTGATTTGCAAGTGGGCTGCTGCGAAAGCGGTGGTTAGAGGGCCAAACCCCCGCCCCTCCCGTCCCCTTTCCCCCTTTTCCCCTTTTCCCCTTTCCCCCTTTCCCTCCCCATTCCTGAGCACGTGCTGTTACCCCGCAGCGCCTACGTGTCGGATCTCCTAGTAGACTATGGCACAGCAGCGCAAGTGGGGCAGTCGTGCGGCCAGCAGGTGGTGTGCAAGCCGCTGCTGCTTCGTCTCCCAACTCCCCCCGTTCCCCCCAAACCCGCTTTTGAGTCGACTCAAAACTCCCCCTGTTCCCCCCAAACCCGCTTTTGAGTCGACTCAAAACTCCCCCCGTTCCCCCCAAACCCGCTTTTGAGTCGACTCAAAACTCCCCCTGTTCCCCCCAAACCCGCTCACCACTTCCCTCCCCTCCCCTCCCCTCCAGAACACGTGCTATTAGCCCGTAGTGCCTATGTCTCCGAACTTGCTTTGCTGGTTGGTCTGCAAGCTGCTCCTGCCCGGCGCATTGAGTTGTTCACCCACTGCCCCCCCTCCCTCCCCTCCCCTCCAGAGCACGTGCTGCTGCCGCGCAGTGCCTATGTCTCTGACTTGCTGGTAGACTATACGCACAGCAGCGCAAGTGGGGCAGTCGCGGCGGCCAGCAGGTGGTCTGCAAGCTGCTGCTGCGCAAGCGCTGGTTCGAGCGCGCCGATGCTGACGTGGCGGAGCGCCAGTTCGTGCGCCTGTGCTACGTGCAGCTGCGCCGTGACTACATGCAGAGCCGCTACCTCGTTACAGCGGAGGGCGCGGTCGTGCTGGCCGCGCTGCAGATCGCAGCAGAGATTGGCGTCATCCCCGACCCCCTTGACGCTCCGTGAGTGCTGCTTGCTAATTGCTAGGTGCGCCGGGCAGTTGGTGCGCCTGTGCTCGTTGCTAGGTGCGCTGTGGCTACATGGAGAGCCGCTACCTTGTCACCGCGAAGGGCGTGGTCGTGCTGGCCGCGCTGCAGATCGCAGCAGAGATTGGCGTCATCCCCGACCCCCTTGACGCTCCGTGAGTGCTGCTGCTTCACCTGAACGTTTCAGTTGTGAAGGTCCGTGCGCGTAAGGTTTCGCTTCGTAGAGGTGTCCTGTGCCACGTGCAGCTGCCAGCTGCCTTGATAGAGGCACCCTGTGCTACGACACGTGCAGCTGCGGCGTGACTACATGGAGAGCCGCTACCTCGTTACAGCGGAGGGCGTGTTGTAAGCACAAAACTACGTACCCCACCAAGCCCACCATATCCTTGGCAGGGAGTGGCTTGCGCTGGGGAGCAAGTCAGTACCTGGTATTGTGACTGCTGCTATTGCTACGTGCACCCTCCCACCCACCCACCCACCCACCACCCATCCCCCACCCCCCTTTCCCCCGTCCGTCCCCCCCGTCCGTCCCCCTTTCCCCCCGTCCGTCCCCCTTTCCCCCGTCCGTCCCCCTTTCCCCCGTCCCGTCCCCCCCCGTCCGTCCCCTTTCCCCCGTCCGTCCCCCTTCCCCCGTCCGTCCCCCTTTCCCCCGTCCGTCCTTTCCCCCGTCCGTCCCCTTTCCCCCGTCCGTCCTCCTTTCCCCCGTCCGTCCTCCTTTCCCCCGTCCGTCCTCCTTTCCCCCGTCCGTCCCCCTTTCCCCCGTCCGTCCCCCTTTCCCCCCGTCCGTCCCCCTTTCCCCCGTCCGTCCCCCTTTCCCCCGTCCGTCCCCCTTTCCCCCGTCCGTCCCCCTTTCCCCCGTCCGTCCCCCTTTCCCCCGTCCGTCCCCCTTTCCCCCGTCCGTCCCCCTTTCCCCCGTCCGTCCCCCTTTCCCCCGTCCGTCCCCCTTTCCCCCGTCCGTCCCCCTTTCCCCCGTCCGTCCCCCTTTCCCCCGTCCGTCCCCCTTTCCCCCGTCCGTCCCCCTTTCCCCCATCCGTCCCCCTTTCCCCCGTCCGTCCCCCTTTCCCCCTGGTCCGTCCCCCTTTCCCCCGTCCGTCCCCCTTTCCCCCGTTCCGTCCCCCTTTCCTCGGCAGCGAGTGGCTCGTCCTGATGACCAAGTCAGTGCCCGCCATTGTGGCTGGCGCCATGAGTGAGGACGAGTGGGCCAAGCAGATTGCCGCCCAGTACAAGACCCTGGTATGTGTCATATTTACTCATGTGCACGTGCACGTGCACGTGCACACACACCCACTCACGCAAACCAACCCTCATGTTGTAGGTGAATTTTGCGACATTGCAGGAACAACCCACTCACACCCACACACATCCATCCGCACCCACACGCTCCCCAGCTTCTTGCCACCCATTCTTACTGATTCCACTGGGGCTCGTTTTCTTCCTTATGATGCGTGAGTTTACTCGCATCATCCTGGACAGCCCGCATGGCGGCTCCATCTTCCCTCTCACCATGGTGTTGCCATTCCTTCCTCATAAACCCCTTCTCACCTCTTCTCACCTTTTCCCACCCATTCCCTGCAGTGGTCGCTGGACCACGAGGGCACGATGAGGGAGTTCACCCACATCATCCTCGACAGCCCCCACGGTGGCTCACGAGTTGCCATTCTTCCCTCTCCCACCCATTCCATTCTCCCCCAACCCTGTCCACTGCAGTGGTCGCTGGACCACGAGGGCACGATGAGGGAGTTCACGCGCATCATCCTCGACAGCCCACATGGCGGCTCCATCTTCTTCCCCCTCCGCGCCCACCCCGACTTTGCTCCTAACTTCCCCAAGAGGGTGGAAGTGGGGGTCAACCACAATGGAGTGAGTGAGAGGCAGTGTGTGTGTGCGTGTGGGGGTGTGTGTGCGTGTGTGTGCGTGTGCGTGTGGGTGTATGCAACTATGGAGCTCAGTGAGCCCTGAATTTGCTCCTTCCTTCCTTGCTCCCTCCCCATCCCCAACCAACTGCACTTCTTGAACATGGAATGGCGCACAACGCCGAACTCAAGGAAATGGTCCCCTGTAGGAAAATGGAAAGCCCCCTGCTGGCAAGCCGCCTGTCTCCAAGCGAGAATGGTTCTTGTAGCGAAAGTTCTGTGTGACATTGTAACGAGATGACTTTTGAGTAGACTCAAGAGCTCAAGGAAATGGTCCCCTGAGGAAAATGGAAGAGTACTGGCAAGCCCCCTGTCTCACGTCACAGAGCCTGCTGTTGCCTGCCTCCTCTGCTTCCTCCCCCCCCCCCCCCCCCCCCCCCCCCCCACCTCCCCCTCCCCTCCCCTCAGCTGCACTTTTTGAGCATGGAGGATCATTCCTTGGTTCACGGGGCCGAGCTCAAGGACATTGCACGGTGTGCCAGCAAGTCAGCAAGCCTCACTGCACCTGCTCTCCCACCTGCGCCCTCACTCTGCCCCCATTCCCCTTCCTCCCCCTGTCTAACCCACCCTGCTGCACTTCTTGAACACTGAGGACCACTCTCTGGTGCACGAGGCCGAGCTCCAGGACGTTGCAGAGTATGCCGGCAAGCCAGCAAGCCCCATCACACCTTGCACTCTCCCAACCCCATCCCCACCTTCTATCCTCTGCAAACAGCTGCACTTCCTCAACACTGAGGACCACTCTCTGGTGCACGAGTCCGAGCTCCCCGGACATTGCGGAGTATGCCGGCAAGCCAGCAAGCCCCCTGTCTCAAATTGTACTCCCCGCTTCCCCGCCCTCCCCCCTTTCTCACCTTCCCTCTCAGCTGCACTTCCTCAACACCTCTCTGGTGCATGAGGCGGAGCTGAAGGACATTGCAGAGTATGTTCTCTCATGGTGTTCTCCCAACTCCCCTTTCTACCCCCCTCTAGCTCCACTTCCTCAACACCGAGGACCACTCCCTGGTGCATGAGGCCGAGCTGAAGGACATTGCCGAGTATGCCGGCAAGCCCGGGCGCGTCTACTTCTGCCTTCTCATGCGCAACCAGCTCTGCTCGCTCGAGTTCGCTACCAAGGGGGTGAGTGTGTGGGTCTGAATGCAGGGGCTAGTGACATTAGTGAGTGGGTGTGGGGAGGGTGTGGTAATGTGTTGCCAGCTTCTGCCTTCTCATGCTCAACCAGCTCTACTCGCTCGAGTTTGCCACAAAAGGGGTGAGTGGGTGGGGGGGGGAAGTGGGGATGAGATAATGTAATATCGGTGTTGAGAGTTGAGTGAGGGAGTGAGTGATAAGCCGACAAGCCTGGTCACTTCTACTTTCTATCTGTTGTATCCGTTCTGTTTCTATCCGTTCTGTTTCTGTCCGTTCTGTTTCTGTCCGTTTCCTCTTCCCCCCTCTCTGACGTGATCCCGCTACCCCACCACCCACCTCGTTGCACCTTCCCTTCCTGCCAGGGAGACGAGATCACCCAGCTGTTGGACCGCCACATTGCCAACGCCGTTCGGCAAGCAAGGGGAGAGCAAGGAGGGGTTGAGAGCGAGAGGGAGAGGGAGGAGGAGGTGGTGGTGGGCGTGGAGAAGGGGAGGGTGATTGTGCGGCAGGAGGGGATGCTCATGCCATCGCTTCGGCTCTCACAAGCAGCAGCCGTCTCTCACGGTTCCCGCCCTCGCTATGCTTAGGGGTGCAGCTTTTTACTGCGGGATTGGGGGAGAGGGAGATAGGGGGAGGGTGGTGGTGGTGCGGCAGGAGCAGTTTCTTTTTTGGTTGTCTTAAGCAGCAGCAGTTCCCCATGGCTCTTGCCTCGCTATGCTTGATTCATCCTTGTGAACACCAGGACCCTGTTTGCTCTGCCAGGATGGGGTCGATTCACCAGGACTCTGTTTGTTTATAAGGAGGTTGTGATTATGCGATGGATGGGGTTAGGGGTCAATGAAAGTTGACGGGTTGATGAGTTATCTTTGAGGACCTGCTATGCCGAGTCACGCTTTTATAGGAATAGAGATAGTAGGGCTTTTTATTTCTCTCATGTTTGTATTTGTGTTCAATGCAAATCCTTTACAGTGTTTATGGTTATGGACTTGAGGTGTGAAGTGGATTCATGCTACAAAGGAGATCATTGATGCAAGCAAAAAGGGAGAAGAAACACTTGCCTACGAGCGTATTCCTACTGAGTGGTGTTCAGTACCAGCACCGGAAAACGGATTCCTGAACATCATGATCGACGATTCTTAACGAGTCCAGTACCAGGACCGCAAGCCAGCTTGTTCGCACACGTGCGTTGTGATTGGTTGGTCGACACAATCACATTTGCGAACAACACCTGGCACGTCGCATGCATGTCGCGTGCCACTCCGTTTCGTCGAAACGACAGGCCGTATCGTCAGTCAGGAGCGAATGAAAGCGTTCATTTTGGAGGTTGGAGGGTGGCAGACGAGCTGCCATTGATGGCATCACCACCATCCATGTGGAGAGGGACAACACAAGTGTGGTCGTTTGTTGAGGGACAACACAAAAGGGACAACACAAGTGTCGCCGAGCACACGCTTGCGAAGCCACCTGTCCTGGAATTGAACAGCTTCCTGTAAATCGGCAATTACAGCAAGCACAGTGTCAGATGCACATTTGGCTTTCCTGGAACTGAACACCTCTCCCCAGGAATACGCTCTAAAAGAGTGGTTCCCTTTGTCAGAATTCAGTCACTAATCATTGAATTAAAAGGGCTTGTTAAGAAGCGGATATGTGCCATGTGTTAGAGTACAAGAATGAATGAAAACAAGAGAGAGAACAAGTAAGATATAGGGTTGGGTTGTACTCTCTAAGAACATACACCTATTCTAGCCTATAACTTTTACATATAAATGTACGTATAAGTTGACACACCCCCAAGGCTACATAAGTGTCAAACATGTTTATTGATCATGTTTGTATAGACTGTATAGGGTAACCTCCTAGAGGGTACAACATTTAGGTATATGTGCATGTACTCTCTAACTCTACATTCAATTCAATTTCTAGGTTTGAGATGGTATCACGCGTAGGTTTCGACCCCCCCCCCCCACCTACCGCTTCCGCTCCTCCCGTCGCGTCTCCTAGCCTAGCCTCGCCCCTCCTGAGCCCAGTCGCGACCCCCCCCCCTAGCCCCGTCGCGCCCCTTCCAGGGCCTCGTCGCGCTCCTCTCAGGCCCCGTCGCGCTCCTTCCAGGCCCCGTCGCGCTCCTCCCAGGCCCCGTCGCGCCCCTTCCAGGGCCTCGTAGCGCCCCTCCAGGCCCCGTCGCGCCCCTTCCAGGGCTTCGTAGCGCCCCTTCTGGGCTTTGTCGCGCCCCTCCTGGGCTTGGTAGCGCCCCTCCCAGGCCCCCGTCGCGCCCCTCCCTGGGCCCCTTAGCGCCCCTCCTGGGCCCTGCTGCGCTCCTCCCTGGGCCCCGTAGCGCCCCTGGGCCCCGTCGCGCCCCTCCTGGGCCCCGTCGCACCTGCTCGGCCCCGTCGCCCCAGCTCGGCCCCGTCGCAGCCGCTCGGCCCCGTGGCGCCCGCCCGGCCCCTGTCGCAGCCGCCCGGCCCCTGTCGCACCCGACCGGCCCCGTCACGCCCGCCCGGCCCCGTCGCCCTCGCCCGGCCCTGCTGTGTCCTGCCCGGCCCGTCGCAGCCGCCCGGCCTCGTCGCTGCCGCCCGGCCCCGTCGCAGCCGCTCGGCCCCGTCGCAGCCGCCCGGCCCCGTCGCAGCCGCCCGGCCCCGTCGCAGCCGCCCGGCCTCGTCGCTGCCGCCCGGCCCCGCGCCTGCCCGGCCCCGTCGCGCCTGCCCGGCCCCGTCGTGCCTGCCCGGCCCCGTCGCGCCTGCCCGGCCCCGTCGTGCCTGCCCGGCCCCGTCGCGCCTGCCCGGCCCCGTCGCGCCTGCCCGGTCCCGTCGTGCCTGCCCCGGCCCTACATACTTCCTGGTACTGTCCCCCTTTCCCCGCACCGCTTTGCACCCTCCTGCACTTCCCTTCCCCGCCTTGCACCGCATTGCACCTCACTGGACCGCACTGCACCGCACTGTACCGCACTGGACCGCACTGCACCGCACTGCATCGCACTGCACCGCACTGGACCGCACTGCACCGCACTGCATCGCACTGCACCGCACTGCACAGCACTACACCGCACTCCCCTATCCTACACTGCCCCTGATGGCCGCTGAGCTTCGTTTTGATGCTGAGGGTCAGCCTCTGGAGTTCGAGGCGTGGTTGGCTGACCTCCGCCGCCACCTCACTGGTCAGCGGCAGGACGGCCACCCGCTTTCTGACCACCTAGACGGTATGCTCCCCTGCCCTGACCCCCCTGCTGTGCTGCCCGCTGATCCCACGCCCGCTGAGCGCGAGTCCACTGCAGCCGCTGCCCTTGCCCGCTCTGTCTGGCTTTCCCGCGATGCCCTTGCTCAGCTCGCCATTAGCAATGCCCTCCCCCCCCCTGAGCGCCCTCGCTTTAGAACCCTTACTACCGCCCAGGCCTACCTCGATGCTGTCATCAAGCGCTATTCTACCCCTCCTGCTGCCTCAGTGGGTCGCCTGATCCTCCCCCTGCTCTTTCCTGACCTTGCGTCTTTCCCCACTGTCTCTGACCTCGCTGCCCACCTGCGCTCGATAGATGAGACCTGGCGCGCTGCCTGCACTGATGCACAGCTTAGAGTCCACCAGCCTCCCATGACCTCTACCCTCTACCTCCTTGCCACCCGCCTCCCTGACCGCCTTGCCGCCGCCCGCGACCAGTTCCTTAGCATCCACCTCGCTGCTCTCACCCTCACCGACTTTGTTGACACCCTGACTGTCATAGAGACTCGTCACCGCTCCATAGCCCAGGCGAGCGGTACAGTACCGGTCCCTATCTTTCAGGGTTGTGCCCCCGCTCAGTGTACCTTCTCCGACGGCTCTGTCGCTGTGGCTGAGACTGCTGCTGCAGTGCAGTCTCGCTCGGGGAAGGGCCGCCGCCCAAGGTTGGGAGCGGCGGGCGGCGGGGGTGCGGGTGGGGGTAGTGGTGGAGTCGGGTCGTCCGGTGCCGGTGCGGACGTGGGGACCCTGCCCGGTCCAGCTGCCCCGCTGCCTCCACAGTTGCAGCAGCAGCAGTCGCCGCAGCCGCAGCCTTCGCAGCAGCCGCAGCAGCCGCCGCAGACGAGGCTGGCGAGTGCTCTCCCGCCTGGGTGGCCTGGAGCTGGTGGTGGTCGTGCGCGTGGTGGTGCACCGGGTGGTGGTTCTGGAGGCGGGCCCTGTCAGTACCAGATCCAGACCGGTCCTCGCCGCGGCTTCGTTTGCGGTAAGATCGGTCATTCCACTCCTCGCTGTTTTCGTCGTCTGGACGACCTGTTCCGTCAGCGCTTTGGCCCGGCACCCGACCTCCCGGACTGGCACAGCTTGCTTAGGCGTAGCATTCGGATTTTTGACTTGGACATGGATGCCATTGTAGCAGCCTTGCATGTGATGTATGCTGATGACTCTAGTGTGCTTCCCTCTTATTACCCCGTGTTGCCTAGTGTAGCTGTGCCTAGCGTAGACTCCCCTGCTGCGTCAGGCGTAGGATCTTCTGCTTTGCTTAGCCTCGGTGCTTCCACCGCTTCACTGCCGCCCTGCGCGACTGCTGCGCTTTCCTTCACCTTGGACTCTGGCGCCTCCCGGTGTTTCTTCCGCGACTCCACGACGCTGACGCCGCTGCCTGTTCCCGCCGCAGTTACTCTTGCTGACCCCTCCGGTGGTCCCGTCGTTGCCCGCCAGTTCCACCTCCCTTCCCTGTCCGGCGGTTCCTTCAGGTTCGCTCACAGGTCTGCATATCCCCTCGTTCTCCAGGAACCTAGTTGGTGTCGGCTGCCTCCAGGACCTTGGCGTCACCACTACGTTCCCTGGTCACGAGCGGTATGCTGTCTGTACCGAGGCCGCCACTGGTGCCCCCCTTACCACTTTCCCCCGGGACCCGGTGTCCGGCCTGTTCACACTTGACACCGCGACTTCCCCGGCTGGGTCTTCCCCCCAGGTAGCTGCGTCCACCCAGGTTGCTGCTGCGTGCTCCTGTCGGTCCCTCACTCACCCGACTCTCCTTTGGCACCACCGCCTTGGTCACCCTGCACTCCCGCGTCTGCGTCACATGTCCCAGCACGGTCTCGTCCTTGGTCTCCCCGGTTCGTTCCCCGAGTTTCCCTCCTCCCCCGCCCCCCCGTGCACGCCTTGTGTCGAGGGCCGGCTCCGCCGTGCCCCTCACTCCTCCTCTTTTCCCCCTACCACCGCACCACTGCAGACTCTGCACATGGACGTCTGGGGCCCAGCCCCGGTCCATGGGCCGCGTCGCGAGCGCTTCTTCCTAGTGCTTGTCGACGACTTCACGCGCTACACCACAGTCTTTCCCCTGGAGCGGAAGGCCGACGTGCCTGACGCTCTCATCCCCTGGCTTGTCTCTGCTCGTGTCCACCGCGGTCTCCCTGCCTTGCGCCTCCACTCCGACCGGGGTGGCGAGTTTGCCTCAGGTGTCCTTGGTCGCTTCTGTCGTGCAGAGGGCATCACCCAGACGTTTACCCTGCCGGACTCCCCGCAGCAGAATGGGGTCGCTGAGCGACGCATCGGTTTGGTCATGGAGGTGGCTCGCACCTCCATGATCCACGCCGGTGCACCCCATTTTCTGTGGCCGTTCGCCGTGCGCTACGCCGCTCACCAGCTTAACCTGTGGCCGCACCCCCAGCGGCCGCAGGTTTCGCCGACCCTTCTGTGGACCGGGTCCCCTGGTGACGCGTCTGCGTTCCACGTCTGGGGCTGCCTTGCTCACGTTCGTGCCTCTGGCACGGACAAGCTCACTGCCCGCACCCTCCCCTGCGTCTTCCTCGGTTTCCCCCTTGACGCGTCCGACTGGCACTTCTACCACCCGCCGTCCCACCGCTTCTTTCACTCTCGTGACGTCACCTTTGACGAGTCCGTCTCCTTCTACCGCCGCTTCCCTCACCGTGGTCCCCCGGTTACTCCCCCCCTGTTCCTGGTCCCTCCTTCCCCGGTGGTCCCTGCCCCTCCCCCCCCCCGCCCCCCCGTCCGGCCCCCTCTGGTGTGTCTCACGTCACCCCCCTCCCGTCGGTCGTCCCGGTCGACGAGTCTTCTGACTCTGGTAGTCCTCCGGCGCAGTCCTCGCCGTCTGTCCCTCCCCCGGTGTCTCCTCCTCCACCGCCTCCGCAGCCGCCGTCGCCGCAGCTGCTGCAGCCGTCGTCTCCACCGCCGCCGCCGTCGCGGCCGTCGCTGCAGCCGCCGCCGCCGCCGCCGCCGCCGTCGTCGCTGCCGCTGTTTGTGGACTCTGGGGGTGCTGGCGTTGAGGTGGGTACTAGTCCCGGGGCTCCTGTCGTGGCTTGTCCCGGCGGGCCTGGGGGTGGTACCGGTGCTGGCGGGGTTTCGGGCTCTGGGGGTGTCCCTTCTCGGGGTGCCGTTGTGGAGGGTTCGGGCGGTCTCCGTCGCGCAGCTTGTGGCCCTGGCGTTGGTGTTGTGTCGCCGCAGCAGCAGTCCCCGCCGGTGTCCGCCCTCCGTCTGCTCGGCCTTCCGTCCCCTGACCCTGTGCCTGTTCTTCTCCTGCCGTCTCCTCCTCTTCCCGTCTCCGGCCCCGTGTTCCCTCCGCCGGACTCGTCCCCGGCTCGTTTTCCCCCTCGTTCCCCACCAGTGTCCCCTCCTCTGTCTCCTGACCCGACGCCCCCCTCTCACGTCTGGTCTCGCCGCCCCTCCCGTGCTCGTCCTGTCTCCCCCGTCCCGCGCTCTCACCCTATGTTGCTCCGGTCCCACGCGTCTCGTCCTCCCCTCCTCCCGTCTCCTCCTCCGTCCTCTCTTGTCGTTGCGTCTCCTCCTCTGTCTGACTACTTTCGTGCCGCTCGCCCTCTTGTTCCTCGGGTCCTTGCCTCTCTCGTTACCGACCCGTCTGTTCCAGTGTCGAGTCTTGACGCCCTTGTCGCTGCGGTCGCTGACTTCGCCTCTACCCGCCGCCTTGACTACGCCACCGCTCTTGTCTCTGACCCTGCCTGTCCTCCGTCTGTCGGGGGTGCTCCTGCCCTCGGCAGTGACGTCCTGGAGGACCGCCAGTTTGAGCTTGCTTTCCTGTCCGAGGCTGCTCCCCATCTCTGTTCCATGCTGCTAGTCCCTGAGGGTGACCCAGACGCTTTCGACATCCCGACACCTCGTACTTACGCTGAGGCGGTTTCGGGACCCTGGGCCTCTCAGTGGATAGCTGCCATGGAACAGGAGATGGCATCTTGGAGATCCACCGGCACCTTCGTCGACGCAGTTCCCCCACCTGGGGTGAACGTGGTCGATGGCCGTTGGCTCTTCAAGGTGAAGCGCCCTCCTGGAGAGCCGCCTGTGTTCAAGGCGCGCTACGTGGCTAGAGGCTTCAGTCAGCGCGAGGGGGTGGACTTCTTTCAGACTTTCGCTCCTACGCCGAAGATGACTACTCTTCGGGTTCTGTTACACGTAGCGGCTCAGCGAGACTACGAGCTTCACTCCCTCGACTTCTCCACTGCCTTCCTTCAGGGCAGCCTTCACGAGCAGGTCTACCTGCGTCGTCCTCAGGGCTTTACTGGCACTTTCCCCCCTGGGACCCAGTGGCTTCTGCGGCGCCCAGTCTACGGCCTGCGCCAGGCGCCTCGTAAGTGGCACGACACGCTGCGTGCTACCCTTGCTGACCTGCAGTTCTTTCCGTCCTCTGCAGACCCCTCGCTCTTCGTTCGTGCTGGCCCGACTCCGTTCTACATCCTTGTCTACGTAGACGACCTGGTCTTTGCCACAGCTGACAGGGACGCACTGGCCTCCGTGAAGGCAGGGCTGCTGAAGAGACACACCTGCACTGACCTTGGAGAGCTGCGCCGTTACCTTGGCTTGCAGATCTCCAGAGACAGAGCCGCGCGCACCATCACCCTGACTCAGTCACACTTGGTGCGCCAGGTCCTTCAGAGGTTCGGCCTTCAGTTCTCCTCCGCACAGCCCGCCCCTCTTCCTCTAGACCACAGACTCTCCGCTCCAGTTCCTGAGGAGTCGGTAGATCCCAGTGGTCCTTACGCTGAGCTAGTGGGTTGCCTCATGTACCTGATGACTTGCACTCGCCCAGATCTCGCATACCCTCTCAGCATCCTGGCTCGTTTCGTGGCCACAGGCAGACACCGACCTCAGCACTGGTCTGCCGCTAAGAGGGTTTTGCGTTATCTTGCAAGTACATCGGGCATGGGGTTAGTGCTAGGCGGACGTAGGCCAGTGGTCCTTACTGGACACACAGACGCTTCTTGGGCAGACGACGCCGAGACGCTCAGGTCTTCCCAGGGCTATTGCTTTAGCCTTGGCTCAGGTGCTGTCTCGTGGAGAGCTACCCGCTCCTCGTCTGTTGCCCAGTCCAGCTGTGAGGCTGAGATCTACGCCGGTGCCATGGCGGCACAGGAGCTCCGCTGGCTGACCTTCTTGCTCACTGACTTAGGTGAGCGGCCTAGCTCTGCCCCGGTCTTGTACGCTGACAACAGGGCCATGATCCTCCTGTGTCAGGAGCCTCGACTCGAGGGTAGAGCGAAGCACATCCAGCTGCGGTACTTCCTCCTGCGCGAGCTACAGCAGCGTCGCCAGGCTCGCGTAGTACACTTGGCCTCCGGTGCCAACACAGCTGATATCTTTACGAAGGCGCTTGCGCCTAAAGATCATCAGCGGCACTGTGTACAGCTTGGTCTGGTTCCTGTAGTCGCTCACTTACTCGGGCCTTGACTTTGTACTGTCCTATATATATATATGTGTACACTCAGACTGGACTTGTGTCCTCTCACAGTGGTTGGACTAGTAGTGCCGCCCTGTACTTGTTCTTGTCTTGTCTGTACTCCTTCTGACTGGTCTTTTAGACCCTTGTCTCAGAGGCTGGATTAGTAGTGCCGCCCTGAGCTGCTTATCTAGGACATTCCCCTATGCAGTCTAGGGGGTGTGTCAAACATGTTTATTGATCATGTTTGTATAGACTGTATAGGGTAACCTCCTAGAGGGTACAACATTTAGGTATATGTGCATGTACTCTCTAACCCTACCATTATTCAATTCTAGGTTTGATAGTTGATAGAGCGCAGTTGCTGGGAGTTTGGTCTCTGTCCAGCTCTCATACCATGTTGGGCTGAGAAGAGCCCTTGGGATCTTTCCAGAGACTAAGTCCCAGTTGTAAAATGAGACTTGAGTAGTGCAGCGGAAGTTGAGGCAGTTGAACCCTTGTACTAGTATATGAGAACAAGTGATTGATTAAAGAAACAAGCATACAGCAATATATAGGAAATAAGAAAGCAGTTGTGGAATACAGTTGCAGGAGCGGTTATCGAGTCGCACAGGCGACTCGATTGCCGCTTCGGTTACCATCTGCGATGTTGTAACTGTCAGTCGCAATCTCCAGTTGCGACCTTTTGAGTTCCTTCGCGTTCTTTGTCTGCCCCCTCGTGTAACCTCCGTTGACTCGCGTACCCCCCCCCCACTGTAATTTTCCTCAAGTGTAGTGTTACACTTCAGAAACGCTTAAGTCCTTTGAGATATTTCCAACAGAACTGAATCACAGCAACTATGCTAGTGCAGAATTCCGTACACTACATGTTTGTCCTTGCTAGGATTACAAACCGAACCATACCCAGTGGGCACCACAATCCATTTGTTCTATCAATATGGCTGCAAAATCGCCTCCCATGCACAAAAAAAAAATACTACATGGTATATCTCACTGAACTTTTACCTTACTGCCGCTTTACAGGGCAGGTGCTTACTTTTTAGGGTTCCTCAAGCCAAGCCATACAACACACACTACAGCCGTTAGGTAAGCCAGGGCAGCCAAAACTGGTCCCTAGGGATTGTCGACGGACGAGCTTGTAGTCGTGGTGGTGGTGGGCTTATTGGGTGCGAGTGGTGCAGCTGGCTCAATAGCTGCCGGAGTGGAAGGAGTGTCGGGTGACTCAATGGGTGATGGCGCAGCAGCAGGGGCAGGGGCAATCTCATCAGAAGGGGGTGTGCTGATCTCTGGAGGCGTTTCCGTCGTAACCTTACTCATCTCTGCATCACCTGCTCCTGTTGCTGCTGCTGCTGGTGTTGCCGGTGCTGGTGCTGCTTCTGCTTCTGGTGCAACAGCGAGACTGCCGTTGTTAGTTTCCACAGCCACCTCAGCAGCTGAGCTGTCAGCACCAGGTGCCCCAGCAGCCTCTGAGGCCGTGCTCACTGCCTCGGCCTCACCCTCACCCTCAACCTCCCCATCCGTTAGCTGCAGCTTGGGAGTCTTGGGTGCAGCCATGGCAGCAGAGGAAGAGGAGGTGCCGAGCGCCCATCCTGCTGCTGTCGCTGCCAGGGAGAAGGGCGTGAGCAGCGCACTGGGAGGGGTGGGGGGTGAGAGGAGGGGCAAGTGAGGGAGTTGGGTGCGAAAAAAGAGAAAACCGATCAGGAAGAAGAGGGGTTGCCGAGCGCCCATCCTGCCGCTAAAGCCGTCGGGGAGAAGGGCGTGAGCAGTGCACTGGGAGGGATGGGGGAGAGGAAATGGGGGGAGGAGGGGAGAGTTGGCAATGAACAAGAAGAAGATGGTGCGGACGCTGGGGAAGGGTCAATCATCGCTCATGCTACTGCTGAGGCTGCTAGGGAGAACAGCGTGAGCAGTGCAGGGAGAGGAGGGCAGGAGAGGGGAAGGGAGGGAACAGGGAGAAGCAAGAATTGACAACACGAGTAAAACGGGCCAGGCTCTGAAGAGAAGCATGAGTAAAACGGGCCAGGCTCTGAAGAGAAGGCAAACACGCCGCTTGTCCCAGTGCATGCACCCACCACATGACAACCCTGCACTCCACACACGCCAAACCCTGCACTCCACACACGCCAAACCCTGCACTCCACACACGCCAAACCCTGCACTCCACACACGCCAAACCCTGCACTCCTCAGCGTCGCTGCAAATTCTCCTGTCTCGTGCGTCTCCACCTGCAGCACCTGCACCAGTAGCACCTGCAGGTACAGCAGCACCAGCAGCACTACTCATTCCCGCTGCACCCTCCACACACCTTGGCCCCCTCACTCACCGCAGGTCATGTTGAAGGCCCTCCTCTGTCTCATACGCCTTCACCTGCAGGGAGATGAGCCGCACCACCGCTGCACTCAACGCACACATTTCCCCACACGAACCTATCCCACACCCGCTTCTTGCTCACCGCACGAGTTAGTTGGTGGCCCTCCTCTGCCTCGTACAAGTTGACCCGCAGGTAGATTGGGTGATGGACCAATCCCAACACTCCAAGCACACATTTCCCCCCCTCTCTACACCTTAACCCCCAGCACACATATTTTTCACCACACACACCTTAGCCCCAATCTACTCACCGCACATCCCTCTCCAAGTCCTCCTCCATATCGTACGTCTTCACCCACAGGTAGACCAGCCGCAGCACTGCCAGCACGCCCAGCACACGCTTCCCACCACCTGTCACACACCCGATCCCCACTCGCCGCACGTCACGTTGCAGGTCCTCCTCTCTCACACGTTTTCACCCGCAGGTTGGTGAGCTGCACCACCACCTAGCACCTGTCACACAGCCAGCACCCCCAGCACACCCTCTCTCAACTCACCGCACGTCACGTTGGAGGTCCTCCTCTGTCTCGTATGTCTTCACCCGCAGGTAGATCAGCTGCACCACCGCCAGCACCCCCAGCAACTGCAGCGACCGCTCCCACTCTGCCATAGTGCAGAGGGGTGCAAGGTGGTGTGGGGCGATAGAGGGTGATGGGTTTGGGAGGGTGAGGGGTATAGACGAGCACCTCCAGAACCCCCAGCACCTCCAGCAGCTGCAGGGACTGCTCCCACTCTGGATCAGATGGGTACAGGGAGGTGCAAGGGGGTTTGTTGGCGGACAGACAGGTGGGGGGGCTGGGGTGATGCAGAGTCGTTCGGGAGTGTGGGGAGATAGGGACAGAGTGAGTTGGGAGATAGGGATAGGGAGTGTGGGAGGGGTGTGTGACAGACATGGGGCAGAGGGTTGGAGGAGAGGGAGGATTGCGTGGGGATGGATGGCTGGTGGAGTGCAGAAGCTGCGGTTCGAAAGGAAGGTGGGGAGGACATGACAGAACCCTACAATGAAAAGATCAAGATGCCTAGTGTGCGATGATGGGCAGTGGAACGTGTGCGATGATGGGCAGTGGAACGTGTGCGATGATGGGCAGTGGAACGTGTGCGATGATGGGCAGTGGAACGTGTGCAATGATGGGCAGTGGAACGTGTGCGTGCATGGATCGGCTTGAGGCGATGCGTGCGCGTAGGGCACGGGAAGAAGGTTTTAGTGGGGATATAAGGGAGCGTGAGAGTTGATCCATAGGCGGGTGCACGAGTGAAAACGGGGCAGGCGATGGCTCGTACCAATGAGGGCGAAGATGCCAACTCCAGTGCCCTGCAGGGTTTAGGGTTCCAGATAGGAACAAGAATAGAACAAGGAGAGAACAAGGAGAGAACACAGGGGAAACGGAGGGAGGGGGAGGCGAGGGGAAGGGGGTAGTAAGCCCCAGTGTTTCCGCCACCCCCATGCTCTGCGGACACTGAGACAACCCCAAGCCCTCACTCCACTTTGCAACTTCATCACCCTCCCCATCCCACAGCCATCCCCTCCCCATCACGTCAATCTCAACACCAAGCCCACACAGACATCCCCGCTTCACACAATTCCCATTTTCCCATTTTCCCATTTTCCCCACATGAGCCCAGACATAACAGCAGGATCTGACCTCTCTCTCTCTCTCTCTCTCTCTCTCTCTCTCTCTCTCTCTCTCCAGACGTGCCAGCAGTCCTCCCCACACGTACCAGCACCCCTCAGCCCACACGTACCAGCACCCCTCAGCCCACACGTACCAGCACCCCTCAGCCCACACGTACCAGCACCACGGAGGCCACTCCGAGGGGCGTAGGCTGCACCTCTTCCACAAACGCTTCGTACTCCTGGGAGAGTGACACGTGGCAGGTGACGTGGCAGGTGATGTGGCAGAGAGATGCATGGCAGCAATAGCAGGGAGGAAACTGGTTGTGAGACATCTCAAAAAGTGTATGTACCGTACATAATCTCCGGTTTACATAGCCAACCTAAATATCGTATGTTCCTGCTGCACTCACCTTATTGATGACATCAGCAGCGCGCTCACCTTCTTGATGACGTCAGCAGCGCGCTCGGGCTCGTTGGGCTTGACTCGCAGCCCGCTAGCCACCCACGCGTCAAAGCCCCCGTCCATCACGTACGAGCGCTGCCATGAGATCACATTGTTGCACAAGCACACAAGCACACAAGCACAGGCACAGGCACATGCACGTCATTGGGAGCACGAATAAAGCATCAAATCCCCCGTCCATCACATAGGGCTGCTGCCATGAGATCGCATGGGCACGCATGCATGCCCACACACAGGCACAGGCACAGCCACAGTCACACACAGGTACGCAGGCAGGTTGTGGACGCACTGCAGCAACGCAGGACGAGCACAGCATGGGGAGACTTTTGAGGTGCCTAAGAAACCGTCTCATGTTCGAAGCCCTGAGGCCAAACTGTTGCTGTAAAGCTGAGTGGTTGTTAGTAATTACAGTTAAAACGAGGCGAGATGCCACCACCACCCGGTTGTTACCTTAAAGCCCACTTTGGAGAGTCCCCTGGCGATCTCCTTTGCCAGGCTGGCACCGCTTTCATCCATTATAATCACTTGAGTGTCCTTCTGCTTACAGTCACATTAAACAGAAGCACACAAGAATCGGGAGGGGGGGGTTGGGGTGGGGAAGGGGAGGAAAGGAGGAGAAGAGGGGGGGGGGGGGGATGGAGAAGAGGGGAGGGGGGGGGGGGGATGGAGAAGAGGGGAGGGGGGGGGGGGGGGGATGGAGAAGAGGGGAGGGGGGGGTGGGGGGGGATGGAGAAGAGGGGAGGGGGGGGGGGGGATGGAGAAGAGGGGAGGGGGGGGGGGGGGGATGGAGAAGAGGGGAGGGGGGGGGGGGGGGGAGATGGAGAAGAGGGGAGGGGGGGGGGGGGGGATGGAGAAGAGGGGAGGGGGGGGGGGGGGGATGGAGAAGAGGGGAGGGGGGGGTGGGGGGGGATGGAGAAGAGGGGAGGGGGGGGGGGGGAGATGGAGAAGAGGGGAGGGGGGGGGGGGGGGGATGGAGAAGAGGGGAGGGGGGGGGGGGGTGATGGAGAAGAGGGGACACAACCGGGGAAGCGATAAAGTGGAGGGTCATGCGAGAGTAAGAGAGGACTGGTTGAATCGAGGGAGGGACAGGATGCTGGAAATAGCTCGGAGGAGCGGATATATGGAGAGCAGCACTCTGGACTAAGGTGTCAACAGGACCAGGATAAACCCAAGCACACCGAGCGTAGGCCGAGCATGAGGGCAGGCTTGGCAAACATGGGCCGCCGCCACTAACGACAAAACATGCCCAAACCTCATTTCCTCCCCTCCGATTGCGCTAGTACCGAGGGATCACCTCCACGCCCATCCACGCCCTGAGAGACGGAGCTAGCAGCACGTCTCTTAAAGCCCTGGATGGAATGTGACGCGCTGACTAGAATGTGCTTATAGAGGAAGCTCACCTGCACGCCCCTCACGCCCTTAATCTTAGCAGCCATGAGCTCCAGATCCACCACATCGGGGCTGCGCACCTGCCCCCTCAGAGGGCCATCCAGCTGTGAGGGGCAGGAGGGCATTGTGATTGCGGCATGGGTTTGAGCACGATGGCGCTAGCTTTTAGCGGACAAAGGCCATGAGCTCCAGCCACCACGTCTGGGCTGCACACCTGCCCCCTCAGAGGGCCATCCAGCTGTGTGGGGATAGACGGGCATGAGTGAGATGAGTGGGGCATGAGTGGGGCATGAGTGGGGCATGAGTGGGGCATGAGTGGGGCATGAGTGGGGCATGAGTGGGGTGGTTAGGGCACGAGTGAGAGCAGGACAGGCCATCGACTCCAGATCCACCACATCTGGGCGGGCGGCCCACCCGCCCCCTCTAGCTGTGTGAGTGGGAACGAGGGGTGAAGAAAGGGTGGAGCTGGGCAGGACGGGGGCAGGAGGGAAGGAGTTGCTAGACGGACAGAGAGGCGCATGCAATGCAAGAGGTGCTGTCAAAGTAGGCTCTGCCACCGTGGTGGCGTGTGACTTCTCAGTTGACTAAAAAATGTGCGGCCAGCCTTTAGTAGTCGAGAAGGAGAGTGCTTGCTTGTGCATCGATGTTTGTGAGTGCGCGTGTGTGCGCGTGCCTATGTTTGTGCTGTGTTTGCACCCACGCGCCCACGGGCATACCTTTTCGAACTTGACACTGCAGTCTTTGAAGCGAGCCCCTCTGCGCAGGTCGGGAATGCCGTTCTCGTCCCGCAGGAACTGCGGGGCATGCAGGAGCAGGGAGAGAGAGAGACGAGGGCATGGCGGGTGGCGTGGTGATGAGGGCATGCTGGGTGAGGGGAGACAAACGTGTGAGGCATGGACATGGAGCATGGGGCATGCCGCATGCGGCATGGGGCATGGGGCATGGGACATGGGGCACGGGGCATGTGGCATGGGTCATGGGGCATGGAGCAGAGGGCATGTGGCAAGGAGCATGGGGCATGGGGCATTGAGCACGGGGCATGGAGCATGGGGCATGGAGCACGGGGCATGGGGAATGACATAGCTGTGGAGCACAGCTAACGCATGCGAGGAGTGTGGAGCATGCGAGGAGTGTGGAGCATGCGAGGAGTGTGGAGCATGCGAGGGCATTCGCTGAGGGTTGATGAAGAGGGCGCCTGAACTCGGAATGAGCACACGACTGCTTTTCTCCGTCACTGGTCCTTCATGGAACAGAATTCTGGAAGAGCAGTAGTGTGGCTAGAATCTTCCAGCTAAGAAAGAGCACTTGCAAATGTCGCAAGGAAAAACCCAAGAGCACAAGTCAGAATGGGAGCAAGGGGCGGCAGACCTCGGGGCGGATGTCGACCAGCACGGCCTTGCTCTCCTTCAACACTGCCAGCGCCTCCTCTGCCGACAGGTTGCCCGAGTACCCACTGTACGCCGCCCTCCAAAACGCCACTCTGGGGAAAGTGGGAGGGGGTGGGGGATGGGGGGGGGGAGGATGAGTCGAGAGAGGTTGCCCAAGTACCCACTGTACGCCGCCCTCCAAAGCCACTCTGGGAGAAGAGGGGGGGGTGGGGGGGGGGGGTGGGGGTGGGTGGGGGCGATGAGGGGAGAGAGCTTGCCCGAGTACCCAACGTATGCTGCTCTCCAATATGTTACTTTGGGAGAGGGTTTGGGGGGGGGGACGGCGCGCGGGGCGAGGGGAGAGATGGAAGGCAGGGTGGCGGATTGCAAGGAGTGCCTCGTGTGCGGATAGGATGCATGCACACCCACAGAATGCCACCTTCATCCACGTCACTCTGAGGTGGAGAGTGACGGGGGAGGAGATGGGTGGAGGGGTGAAAGGGGGAGACAGAGGGCGTCTGCTAGTAGGTTGCCTGGGCACCCAGCATATGCCGCCTCCAAATAGGCCACTCTGGGGCGGGAGGAAGGACGAGAGGTGCAGAAACGGATCAGGGAGGAGTGGGGAAGGGACGAGAGAAATGACTAGGGTGCAACGGTGAGGAGCGCCGTTGAGACATTAGTGAACCACGGAGTAGCGTCGGGGGCTTATCTTTGAAGTGCCAAAAAAACTGCCTCTTGGTGAAACACGAAATAGCAACAAGGGCAACGGCAGCACACAGCACACAGCACACAGCACAACACAGCACAACACAGCCCAACACAGCCCAACACAGCCCAACACAGCCCAGCCCAGCCCAGCCCAGCCCAGCCCAGCCCAGCCCAGCCCAGCCCAGACCAGCACGCAGTGCAGCACGGCACACTCACCCCAGTAGCAGCGTGCCAGTGGTAACCAGAGTGGCGATCACCACAGTGTCGTCCGCATCGAAGCCCGCTGCTCCATATGCTGCGCGCACCGCTGCCGCTGACAACACAGCCACCTGGGGGCAGAAGTGGGGCGATGAGAAAGGGGGAGTGACTGTGAGTTGACTCAGCAATCACAACAGTGTCGCCACACCGCACTGCATTGAAGTCTGCTGCCCGCACCGCTGCTGCTGGCAGCACTGCCACCTAGGGGGGGGAGAGAGATGGTTTGAGAGAGTGAGTGCGTGTGAGAGAGTGAGTGCGTATGAGAGAGTGAGTGCGGGTAAGAGAGTGAGTTCGTGTGAGAGAGCGAGTTCGAGTGAGAGAGGGAGCGGGGGAAAGACTGAGAAAGAAGGAGTGAGTCTGCACGACCCTCCCCGCCAGCGACAGGGCGTCCGCGGGCCCGCTCTCCTTCAGCGCCGCGTACGCCTCAACCAACCCTCTCCAGCACACTCTCCCCTCTCCTGCACACTCTCCCCTCTCTCCTGCACACTCTCCCCTCTCCTGCACACTCTCCCCTCTCCTGCACACTCTCCCCTCTCCTGCACACTCTCCCCTCACCTGCACACTCTCCCCTCACCTGCACACTCTCCCCTCTCCTGCACACTCTCCCCTCTCCTGCACACTCTCCCCTCTCCTGCATACTCTCCCCTCTCCTTCATACTCTACCCTCACCTGCACACTCTCCCCTCTCCTGCACACTCTCTCCTCTCCTGCACACTCTACCCTCTCCTGCACACTCTCCCCTCTCCTGCACGCTCTCCCCTCTTCTGCACACGCTCTCCTCACCTGCACACTCTCCCCTCAACTGCACATTCTCCCCTCTCCTGCACACTCTCCCCTCTCCTGCACACTCTCCCCTCTCCTGCACACTCTCCCCTCTCCTGCACACTCTCCCCTCACCTGCACACTCTCCCCTCTCCTGCACACTCTCCCCTCTTCTGCACAGTCTCCCCTCTCCTGCACACTCTCCCCTCTCCTGCACACTCTACCCTCTCCTGCACACTCTCCCCTCTCCTGCACACTCTCCCCTCTCCTGCACACTCTCCCCTCTCCTGCACACTCTCCCCTCTCGTGCACACTCTCCCCTCTCGTGCACACTCTCCCCTCACCTGCATACTCTACCCTCACCTGCAAACTCTCCCCTCTCCTGCACACTCTACCCTCACCTGCACACTCTCCCCTCTCCTGCACACTCTCCCCTCTCCTGCACACTCTCCCCTCTCCTGCACACTCTCCCCTCTCCTGCACACTCTCCCCTCTCCTGCACACTCTCCTCTCTCCTGCACACTCTCCCCTCTCCTGCACACTCTACCCTCTCCTGCACACTCTACCCTCTCCTGCACACTCTCCCCTCTCCTGCACGCTCTCCCCTCTTCTGCACACGCTCTCCTCACCTGCACACTCTCCCCTCTCCTGCACACTCTCCCCTCTCCTGCACACTCTCCCCTCTCCTGCACACTCTCCCCTCACCTGCACACTCTCCCCTCTCCTGCACACTCTCCTCTCACCTGCCCACTCTCCTCTAACCTGCCCACTCTCCTCTCACCTGCACCGCCGCCCCTTTGGTCACCTGCAGACGGAACACTGACTTGACCCGACTCCCCTCTCACCTGCACGGCCACCTCCTTGGTGAGTCCACTAGCGGCGTCCCACAGCGACGCCAGGTTGGCCTCCACCTTCTCCACCAGCGGCAGCGACTCCACGGGCACGCTATCCCTCAGCGCCGCATAAGCCGTCAGCCACTCCCTCTGCACCACCTCCGCCGCCGCTGCTGCCGAGTCCGTAACCGATGTGGTTACCGCTGCCACGGCGCTCTCCACAGGCTCGGAAATAGCCCGAGGCACGGTTAGCTTCGGCACGGGGAGGCTTGAGGGGGAGGGTAGGCTCGGGATAGGGATGGATGGGAGTGGGATTTCGGGCAGCTTGATATCTGGGGTGGGAAAATCGGGCAGCTTGAAGTCAGATTTAGGGAGAGAGAGCTCGGAAGTGTCGGGAAGCTTGAATTCGGGTTTGGAAAATTCGGGCAGCGAGAAGGAAGGCGCCTTCAGGTCTGAAAGGTTCTCTGGGAGTGAGAACTCGGGCTTATTAAACTCGGGCAGAGAAAATTCGGGCTTCTTAAAATCGGGCAGGCTGAAATCTGGTTTCTGGAAGTCGGGCACGCTAAACTCTGGCTTCTTAAACTCAGGCAGGCTAAAATTGAAATCAGGCTTCTTAAACTCGGGCACGCTAAAATTGAAATCAGGCTTCTTAAACTCGGGCATGCTAAACTCGGGCTTCTTGAATTCGGGCAGGCTGAATTCTTTCTTTTCAAAAGAGGGAGCGAACTCCCTGGTGGGGTACGAGAACTTGGGCAGCTCTGGAAGGGCCGAGCTGGTCGGGATGTCGATGCTCTCAGCAGCAGATGACACGGCATCTGCCACGTCAGCAGCAGACGAAACGGCATCTGCTGCATCCGCGGCAGCAGCAGCAGCATCTGCCGCTGTGGCGCTTGCTGCGTCAGTGGTGGCGTCAGCAGGAGCATCCAGGCCGAGGTCTAAGTCCCTGAAGTTAAAGCCGATGTCCAGTCCTTCCCCCTCGGCGACAGTTGCCGTCGCATCTGCGACAGTGGCGACGACATCCGGTGTGGGGAGCTCTGCCGGCGACAGTTGGGCCGATTCCGAGGCGAGGGCTGCCGCTGCGGGAATAAGCGCTGCGGGGGAAATGGTGTGGGATGGGAAGGTAAGAGAGAGGAACGGAAAGCAGGGAGGCAAAGAGGATAGGGATTAGAGGGAGAGACGAGAAGGAGAAGGGATCGAAGCGGGAGCTTTCGGGGAGGAAAGAACGGAAGGAGGTGAAGTGAAGAATGGCAGGAGGCGAAGAAGAGATGGCTTCAGTGCAGGGAAAAGTCTGCTCTCGGTTGTGACGTGTCGCTCGCAAGTGAAAACTTGCTTGACAACTTCCGTTCGAGGAAGCAACTGCTCAACAGATTGGTGTGGGGCTACCGCTTCCTATGCTTACTACGCTTACTAAGCGTAATTTCACGCGGAAACCAACGCTTAGGTTGGCTATATTAATTAACAACTACCGTTACTGCTGTCGTTGGTCACCGCATTCAACCACTACTGCACCAGTCACTTCCAGTGTATTTTTAGTCAACTAAGAAAAACACACGCGGGAGCCATCGTCACTGCTGACATCCTTCAACGCGTTCCCCCCTGCTCCCACCGGTTTCTTCCAGGCCTAGCGGTTGTCGCGAAAGGTGACCATACGGATGGCAACCACGGCGAAAGCAATTCCGGAAAGTCTATACGATGTTTCGTTGCGTTCGTTGCGGTTTCGATATCGCTACTTCTTACACGTGCTGGCAGCGGCGGCTGCGGAGGATGCGGCGAATCTCCCCGAGCTGCTTCTACCGTCGGCTCGCGCGCGAATGCCGCAAGCCGCGAGCCTCGTATGGCTCGTCGGAGCCGGACCGGCCGAGCTCTTCGCCGCGATCTGCGGTGGCGAGAGTGGGGAGAAGAAGACGAGAAGCGGTATTTGAGGTGGATCATGAAAGGGACATTTGGTCTGGAAATTGTCGTGGGAATGCGAGTTGATTTGTAGCGGGTAGGCGAATCGATGATCTGTGCTCACCCGCGGCTCCCGGCGGAGGCTCCCTCGTAAGAGACTCGATAAGCCAGATGACTGCGCTGCCGCCATGTCTAGACAAGCCGAAGAACTCCTGCTTTCCCAAATTCACTGGTCCGTCAGGTTTCTACAGCTATCTGACACTGGAGACGAAGGAAGGAAGGGCTTACGAACTGGAATGGCCTCCTGTCTTCATCTAGGAAAGTACTGATGGAGGAGTGATAATGAGGAAGTATTCAAGACATTATTTTTGTTAGCCTGCAACGAAACCGAGAGTGTTATTTGCATTTCGAGTGTCAGTTTTGAGTGCGCATCGCACCAGGCCTGGGACCTTCTTCCGTGTTCATTGACTGGGATAGGGCGTCACGGCGGGACCTATAAAATAGCCCATCAGATGTGGCGCACCTGCTGGTGATTTGCTGTGGAGAATGGAAGGGTGGAGATGCACCTCGGGCACATCAATGTTGACGTGGCGACCATCCGCATCTCCCGAATCTGAAGGATCCATGGCAGTTCATCTGTGCCGTTCTGGAGCCCCTGCTCGCCCTCTGGATTCTGTGGCCACAGATAGGCTCCCAAATTCAGGACAAGAGATCCCTTCCTGCGTCCCAAATTCTTAAGTCAAAATTTATTCGCTATAGGTAAAGCGTCAGAAGGACCAGACTCGTTTACTGACTTTGTTTACATGTGTACCATCGCTAGTATTTGCTTGATCAATCTCTTCTATAGTTATCTTGTTATACATTTTGTAGCATAATTGAGGGCGTGTCCCGCGCATACGTTTGATTGCGGTTCAGTAAGATGCTCTTCTACTCAGTAAGGTCAAATATTTTTAAGAAACGATTGGGTGGGGTACTGAGAGAGAAATGTACGCGCTACAAGATGCATGAAGGGGAGAGAACTACCAATCGTTACCGATTTCGTGAACCTCGTCAAATTTCTCGCATCCAGTTGCCAAGTTTGGGTGTCGAAGTTCTAAGTACGCGCAAATCCGCCTGAGGGCATGTATAAAGTAAACGGGCGATTTACGATAAGATATTTTGACGTCACTCTGCGACGCCCGCGCGACGTCAAAATTGCTGATTCCGAGGGCTACACAAGCACATTGAGCACTGATGAAATGCGAAAGATGCCGGTAACCTTTTTAGGGTGACGAAACCGGGGCGCCACGCGACCAAAAAGGGTTGCAGCAAAAAAAGGCTGTAACGTGCGAAGATGGCGAGGGCTTGCACCCGGATAAGTGCATTTCGATGTGCTGGCACTCCACTTGCGAAAATCCCTGTCTCCCGAGCTGGTTCGTGCTTTCGCTGCATGTCTGGTTTTGTTTTTTAGGCTCCTGCCCACGGGCATTGCTTTTGCAGCGCAAAATGTGCTGGGACGTCAGCTCGAATGCGTCCTATTTTACGCTGAACACTGACAGTGCGTCTACAGTGGTTGTTACATGCGGTAGCCACACTAAGCCGTCGCTGACGTCCCGGGACGTCACTCTCGTTTTCACTTTATACGCGCCCTGATGTTTCCCAACACCAATTCCTCAACTTGAACTCTCGGATGACGTCACGCAACACACCTATCTGCTCAGTCCTAGTCCAGACTCGAACACTTTTGGCGAAATAAGAATCGTGCTCGGCGAAATAAGTTTTATGGGACTGTCTATGTTCTAGTTGCTGAGGCTCGGTCTAACCTGGCAGTCACCTGCGTGATTTCTTCCGGTGAACCGCAAGACGACACCGCGCGAGCGACAGCAATCGCAACCACGAGTAACCCACCCCTGTCGCACGCCTTCAAAACTTTCCGCGAACCTCGCCGTTTCGTGCTCGTTGTTAGCGTCGAGAGCTCGTTTGAAGCACATTCGAAAGCTCGTTGACTTTGGCATACCACCTTACTATAAGGCGACACGAGAGCAAACGTCATTAGTTGCCAGTTCGTCTACCTACCCACACCGTTCGCTCCACTTCAACCCGTTTTACCAGAACGAGCATTCGTTGTAGTCGCCAGCGAGAATCACTCAATGGAGCGGTGGACTGCGGACGAAACGCGCGCGCTGATCGCGCTGCGCGAGCGAGTGGAGCGCGAAACCAGGCGTTCGATCAACGCCAAGGGCGGCGCAGCGGCCGGCAGCGATGATGACGAGGAGGATGGTGGGGCGGTGGATTTCGGCGGGATGCGCATGTGGGAATGGGTTGCGAGCGAGATGCGGAAGCAGGGGTTTCAGCGATCCATGGTGCAGTGCAAGGCGAAGTGGACCGTGCTGTTCAACCGATACAAGGTATAACGCTCTGTGTATAACGCGTACTACAATATTATCGGGTGCGGAAGAAGGGGTTCAGCGATTTATGGTGCAGTGCAAGGCGAAATGGACCGTGCTGTTCAACCGATACAAGGTGATGCATCGTCAGCAGCAGCACCATCGCATGCTGAAGCCGGCGCTGGCAGTGATTGCTCCTCCCATGCGCCGCGGCATCTCCCTCTGCCCCCCTCCCCGCTCCCATCTCTCCCCTCCCTCTCCCCCTCCCTCCTCCCCCTCCCTCCTCCCCCCCCCCGTCCCTCCCCTCCTCTCACCAGAGCGTGGAGTTATCGGAGCGACAGGGCAAGGCATGCCCGTTCTCTGACAGGCTGACTGCCATCCTCAACCACGAGAGGCGGCAAGGCTTGTCCGTTCTTCGACGAGCTCGCTACTGCCATCTTGAACCTGAGAGCGGAGCAGGCTGCAACTGCGCTGATTCCCTCTCAATTCTCATTAACTGTCGACTTTTGAGTCGACTCAAAATATCCATGCGCTTCCTCCCCTCTCCCTCCCCCCCCTCTCCCTTCCTTTTCACGCGAAGCCCTCTTTTGCCAGGGCATGGAGCTGTCAGAGCGACGAGGCAGCGCGTGGCCTTATTGTGACGAGCTGGCAGGGATCTTCAAGCTCAGGGCGGATCAGGCTGCCTTTGCACTTACCCCATCAGCATTCCCATGCGCGCCACCTTCTCCCCCCACCACCCCCCTGCCCCCTACACACCGCCTCTACACCCCGCCTTTCCCACCCCCACCCCCCTCCGACCCCCCCCTGCCATCATCAGAGCATGGAGCTGTCGGAGCGGCGGGGCAAGGCGTGTCCGTTCTTCGACGAGCTGACGGCCATCTTCAAGATCCGCGCGGAGCAGGCCGCCAGGGAGGCCGCTCTGGGGCACGGCGTGGTGGACCCCAGACCGCCAGGCTTGGCAGGTGCTGGTGCGGAGGGGACTTCGCTGTTTGGCGAGGATGGCTTGTATGGGTTACAGGAGGAGGATGGGGAGGGGGAGGACGGTGGGGAGGACGAAGAGGAGGAGGAGGAAGAGGAGGACGGGGAAGGGGAGGATGGGGAGGAAGAAGGGGAGGACGGAGATGCGGTAGGGAAGAAGAGGAGGAGAGGAAGAGCAGGGAAGGCGGGCAGAGGGGGAGGGCGTGGGGCGGGGTCAAGAGCAGCAGACGCAGGACTACCACACACGCGAGTGGACACGCGGGGGGATGCAGAGAAGGAGGCGTTGAGGCGGAAGAAGGGCGAGGGGGGCGTGTCGATCAAGGTGGACCGGAAGCGCGTGGAGAAGATGGCTGAGGTGCAGCGGGCGTTCCTGGCGCACCAGGTGAAGGTGGAGGGCATGTGGGGCGAGGAGGCGGAGAGGGTGGAGGCGAGGGGCCGGGAGAGGGGCGAGGAGTGGATTGGCGGGCTGGAGGAGCGGGAGAGGAAGCGGCTGGCGGAAGATGTCAAGTGGCGCGAGGTAATGGGGCGACGTGGCATGGAGGCATGGGGGCACGATGGTATGCGGCTGGGGGCATGATGGCATGATGGCATGATCGCTTGATTGTATGGTGGCACAGTGGCATGGTGGCATGTGGCATGTGGCATGGTGGCATGGTGGCATGGATGGAGGCATGGTGGCATGGAGGCATGGTGCAGATGACAACTTGACGATGCATTGGCAGGATGGCATGGTTCACGTGAACCACGAGTATCCTGAATAGCATACCACCGGTTGCTTGCTGTCGGTCGCTGCCGCCTTGCTGTTGGAGGTGGAGTGTGATGTGACGGCATGATGCAAGCTCAGATGAGGGTAGATTCCTACCTCGGGGGAAACTCCGAGGCAGGTCTTCGGGGCATGCTTTCTATGGGCTGGATGCTCCAAAATTTCAGAGTGGCTGTATAGATCTTGCCCGGAAGTCGTGCCCCGAAGTTTGGCCAGAGGTAGGAATCCACCCTGATTCGCACCCTCTTGTTACTGTCTGTGGTGGCAGGACGAGGAGAGGAGAGCCCAACAGGCAGAGGCTAGGGGGGGGGTAGGGTGTGACGGCCTCCTGGGGACTTCTTGTGTCCATGCTATTTTTGAGGCGCCTCAAAAACGGTCTCCCAGGGACTTATTTTTCCATGCTGTACGTTACTCACACATTCTCCTTTTGCTCTGCCTGTTGCTGGTTGTGGTGGCAGGAGGAGGAGCAACGAGCACAGCGCGCCGAGGCCAGGGAGGTGGAGTGCGACGCCATGCTGCAGGCCCTGCTCGCCCAGCTGCTGCACGCTTAACCCGCCCTCATTTGACTTCACCCTGCTGAGCCAGCAGGGTGTTGCACGCACGCTCAACCCACCCTGATTTGACTTGACCCTCGCCTACAACACTTGCCTGCACACCCTGCCGGTTCAGCTTAATGCTCTCCAACAACACTTGACCCTCGCTCTCCAAGCCTCCTCTGACCTCACCTCACCCACACTCACGCCTCGTCCTACCACCTCCACACTCACTCCCACTCATGCCTCGTCGTCTTACCCCCTCCACACTCCCAGTCATGTCCTCGCAGGCTTTCTGTTACCTTCGCACAGCACTCCCATGTCAACTTACAACTCCACGGTACTTGTATCTCCCCTCCCCTCTTCCTAGCCCAACTTTTCACACTATCTCAACATGGCACCTAGAGCTAGGTTAGGTCCCACCTGTTAGAGTAGGGGGAAAAAGCTTGACTAGTATTGGGCTGAGAAAAAGCCCTTAGGATCTTTTCAGAGACTAAGTCCCAGCTGTGAAGACTTGAGACTTTGAGTAGTGCAGCGGAAGTTGAGACGGTTGAACCCTTGTACTAGTATGTGAGAACAAGTGATTGATTAAAGAAACAAGCATACAACAATATATAGAAGATAAGAAAGCAGTTGTAGAATACAGTTACAGGAACGGTTTATCGAGTCGCACAGCGACTCGATTGCCACTTCGGTTACCATCCGTGATGTTGTAACGGTCAGTCGTAACCTCCAGTTGCGACCTTTCGAGTCTTTTCGCATTCTTTGTCCGCCCCCTCGTGCAACCTCCGTTGACTCGCGTGCCCCCCCTGTAGTTTTCCTCGAGTACAGTGTTATACTTCAGAAACGCTTAAGTCCTTTGAGATATTTCCAACACTCCCCTTCGTTTCTGGAGTGCTGGCGTGTTCAGATCCGGTGACGTTTGTTTGCCCGGTCAGGAGCATGCAGTAGTCGAATTTTGCTTTCGCCAATTTCTTCGTCAGATAATCTGCGGCCATTTCTGTCGTCGGGCAGTAACTGAGTTGAAGTCTCCCCTTCGCGATTTCATCCTTGACGAAGAAGTACCGCAGGGCGATGTGCTTGGTTCGGTTGGCGAAGCCGTCCTTGTTCGCGATTTTGATCGCAGATTGGTTGTCGCAGAGGAGTGAGAAGGCGGGCAGGGTCGCGATCTTCGCTTCCTCGAGTAACTCCCGCAGGTAGAGTCCTTCCTTGGTCGCAGTACAAAGGGCGATATACTCTGCTTCAGCCGAGGATAGTGCGATTAACTCCTGCTTGCTCGACTGCCAGGAGATAGTTCCGATGGGTTCTAGTCGGTAGATGTAGCCCGTCCTAGATCGTCGATTTTCCCTATCTCCCGCGTGGTCGGCGTCGACGTATCCGAGTAGTCGTACGGACGGTGTTGTCGCTTTGCTGTAGGTAAGTCCGATCGTCGGCGTGGAGACGAAGTAGAGTAGTGTCCGGTTGAGCTCCTCAAGATCTTCCTGTTCCGGTTGCTTCAGATGCGCCGCCAGTTGACTCGCACTATAGGACAGGTCGGGTCGGCAGGTTACTGCTGCGAATAGTAGGCAGCCGAGCTTCTGTTGATACTCCTGGATTTGCTTCGCGGGGAGTTTTGCGGAGGTGCTGTTGTTGTTCCCGTAGTGGTAGGGGGTTGGGACAGTAGTCGGTGTTAAACCGAATTTCTTCGCGACGGTGCCTGAGTACTTTCCAGCGTGTAGGTAGAACGCCGTGTCGTTTTCGTCGACATTCAGTCCTAGGTACTGGGTCACTTCGTCGGACACCGTGAGTGTTAAGTCTTCTTTCAGCTCCCGTTCGAACCAGGTGGCGATGTCGGTAGTGGAGCCGATGTAGAGCAGGTCGTCGACGTAGACGATGAGTAGGATATACTCTCTTCCCTTCTGCAGTCGGTACATTCCTTGGTCATGCGGCAGCTGTAGGAATCCGATTTTTGCGAGACGGCCGTGGAGATGCTGCTGCCAGAGTCGCGGGGCTTGCTTGATCCCGTATAAGGATTTTGTCAGTTGGCATACTTTCGTGGGGTCGTCGATGAATCCGTGGGGTTGTTCGACGAAAATCTCGGCGTCCACAGGTGCGTATAGGAACGCATTCGCGACGTCGATTTGGCGTAGTGGTAATGTCTTCGTGGCCGCGACGGCGAGTAGGATGCGTAGTGAGGTGTGACGGGAGACTGGAGCGAAGGTTTCTGTGTAGTCGGTCCCGTATCGTTGATCGAAGCCTCGTACGACCCATCGAGCTTTGAATCGTTCGATGGAGCCGTCTGAGTTGGTCTTAATGCGGTACACCCATTTCCCCGAGAGGACGTTTTTCCCGTTGATGCTTGTTGCAGGTACCAGTTTCCATGTTTTCCGGTCTTGTAGAGCCTTTAACTCCTTTTCCATCGCTTCCTTCCATTTCGCCTTATATTCCCCCCCCAGAGCCTGCGACAGGGTCGAAGGCTCTCGCGGAGAAGGCGGCGGCGGATGCTGGACGGAGACCCAGAGGCCTAAAATCTGCAGTCCTGTGGGTGTGTGTCGAGGGGAATTTTCATTCCCGGAATAAGCTGCTTCGTCACCGTCTTCTGGGTCAGGTAAGAAGTTGGGACCGATGCGTTCTGAAACATTTGTGTCGACTGGGTGGGGTGTAATGTAACCTTGGTCAGCGAAGTGGTAAAAGGTGTTGAGGTTGTTGCTATCGAGAGGATTGTCTTCGTCGAGTGGAACAGGTACGGAACAGAAAGGGAGTGGTCCGGCAGCTTCCGAGGCTTCATGTACGTCTTCTTCTGCTGCGTCAGCTTCGGCAGCACGGTCGGTGAAGGAACGAAGTCCCGAGAAGCCGTCGGTGGGGTCTTGTGTGTTGGCAATGTTGTCCAGGTAATGGTGCAGCGTCAGTCGCTCGTAGAAGATAACATCACGTGATGCCACGGTATTTTTGTCTTGTATGTCGAGAATTTTCCACGCGTGAAAATGTTTGGCGATGCCGAGGTGTAGTCCCCACCGAGCTCGTTGTGTGAAGCGTCCTGCTCGGGCTGTGTGGGGTCTGTACTGTACCATGCAGCCGAAAACTCGTAGTAATTTTGTGCTGCCCCTTTTTCTTGTCCACAACAGGTGCGGTGATGCGTTGTTGGGAAGCGATGACGAGGACAGCAGGTTGTGCAGGTGAACTGCATGTGTTATCGCGTCTGGCCACAGTGTGGTGGGCAGCCTCATTCCCAGAAGCAGTTTTCGCATCGTCGTCTGCAAGGTCCGGTTCATGCGTTCTGCGACCCCCTGCTGCTGGTGAGCATAGGGCAGAGACACCAGGCGTCTGATTCCTCTTTCCGCCAGATAGGTCCTGAAGCGTTGTGACTGGTATTCCAGTGCACCGTCTGACTGGAAGCTCTTGAGCTTGGTTCCTGATTCTCGTTCGGCGATGGGAAGCCACGTTGTGAAGGCGTCGAAAGCTTGATCGCGCGTCTTGAGATTGAAGTGCCAGACGTATCTGGTTGCTGCGTCGATGAACGTGATGACGTAGTTGAAGTCGGCTTCGGTGTCTTCTCGAGGCATGTTTAAAATATCGCTGTAAACTTTTTCCATCGGAGCGTAGGTAGGTGCGCTTGGGTTGTGATGAGATGGAAAAGACTGATGGGGAAGATCTGCTTCGGGGCACGTGAAGCACCGTGCTCGTGGTCTTCGAAGTTCTTGGCCGCTCGTCGTTAGGAGGGCGTTGCGTTCTAACACCTCTGCTTGGATTGTTTGTAGTATCGTGCTGTTTGCAGGATGCCCGAGGCGTTGGTGCCAGATGTCGTCGGAAGCGCGATGACTCGGCGAGCGGTGGTATATGTCGGCGTTGGAGAAGAACGCGACGACTGTGGCGGGACTTCGACAAACTTCTCGTGTGATGGGCATAAGCTGGTCTGCTTCGGTTGGCGGTCCTCGGATCGCTGGTGGTGGGACTCGGCTGGGTCCTGCTGCTGCTACTGCAGGTGATGGTTTGGTTGGGATACTCGCGGGTACTTGTCTTTCTTGTCTGATGACTGCTAATGCTCGTGTTCTTTCTGCTACAGGTATGGTGTTGGAGTGCCAGAAGCCGTCACTGTCGAATTCTGGATCAAGATCCGGCGGGTGTGTCCAGGCTGCGAATGATACGATGCCGTCGCTGTCGGCAGTACCGCGGTCGGGGACGAAGTCCAACACGAAGACGCCGGATTTCAGGAGGGCACGACCGATGAAGAGGCCACCCTTTCCGTGGTATAGCCGAAACTCGTTGGAGTAGGAGTCGCACTCCAGGTGAATCCCCTTAGCCATTAGTTGGCTTACGCTTAGTAGGTTGTATCCCAGGTTGTCGACAATGAGGACTTTGTTGAGCTGAAGTATGACGTTTGTCTCCATGGATTGTAACTGAACCACGCCTTGTCTGTTTGTCTTCAGATTTTCGTTGTTGGCGACGGTGATGACGACGTCGCGGTTGAGGCGTTTCTCCTGTTGCACGAATCGTCCCGAAGAGCACATGTGTTGCCCGCAGCAGCTGTCCAAGAACCAGGTGTTTCGCCCGGTGGGTTCGGCGTTGGCGACCGCAGCATATGTTGGATTGACTTGAAGGCCTTGTGAGCGCGGTGGCGGGAGCTCTTCTTCGTCTGGCGCGTAAGTGGGTGGTGAGCCGGGTGCGCAGTTGTCGATGTGTACCATGCAATTGATAATGTTTGGTGTCTGTTGTGCAGATGTTGAAGAGCGTCTTGGGGGACTTGCTTGAGTGGAAGCGACTTGTGGGTCTGCTGGACGGTAAACGCGAGGGCGGTTGCACTTGACCTTAGAGTGCCCGGAAGTCTGACAGTTGTGGCAGAACGGCGGCACGAAGGTAAATCCCCTGTTGTCGCGTTCTTGCTTGCCGCGTCGATTGTAGGTGTTGTCGTTTCTTCGTTGAGTGTAGAAGACTAACTGCTGCTGCTTCCTTAGTTGTCTTTCTTCGAACAGGACCATCTCCTGTTGTTCAGCGTGAAGCTCGGCGCAGAGGTGCATCTCCGAAATCCTTCCGTGGGCGCGAAGAAGCGATCGTGTGGTTCTCCATTCTGGCCCGAGCCCGGCGAGGACAAGTGTCACGAAGCTTTCTTCAGTGATTGTTCCTCCGCACCGAAGCAGGCGGTCGCGGAGGGTCTGGCAGCGGCTCATATACTGCATCGCCTTTTCCCCGGTCTTCATTTGTATTGTTGTCAGTTGTTGCATGAGTCTGCTTTGTGTCACGCTGTCGTTTGCTTGGTAGAGGCACTTGAGATGGTGCCATGCGAGTTCCGCGGAGTTTCCATAGCTCCTGTATGTTCTGATGCTCTGCTGTTCTTGTGGTGACAGGTTTCTCAGGAGAACCGTATACGCCAGCAGCGACTGATACGTGAAGATTTCTTGTTCCTTTCCAGTGCCGTTGCTTGGGAATGGCAGGGACCCGTTGAAGTATCCCAGAAGGTGCGCAACCTCCATCAGCAGCTCGAACTCGAAGCTCCAGGTAAAGAAGTCGTGTCCGTTGAACGGTGAGGATGTCTGCAGTTTAATCACGTGTGAAAACTGCGCCTGGAGACTTAAGATTTCGTTTGGTGTTTGTTGTGATGCAGCTGCTGTTGGTTGGGCACGGGGCGGCATGAACTCGAACGTCCCCGGTGAAGAGTGATAAGGCGCAAAGGTAGGCGCTTGATTGTGTCGCCCAAACGATGAGTTGTCGAGGCTCATCGGCGCTAATCCCATGTTTCCTCCATTGCTCTGTGTTGAATGCGCAGGTGTCCTTGTCTGCTGCTGCTGGTCGAAGTGCGACATGAAGCTGAAGAACCTTTCCATAAGGTTGGGGTCC